GAAGACAGACGACAGCCAACAGACACGTGGAAAGATGCTGAACATCACTCACCATCAGGAAAATGCAAATCGAAACAATGAGATACCACCTTACGCCTGTCAGAATGGCTAAAATCGTAAAGACAAGAAAACGAGGGCGAGGATGCGGAGAAAGGGGAACCCTCGGGCACTGTTGGTGGGAATGCAGACTGGTGCAGCCACCGCAGAAAACGGCGCGGGGGTTCCCCAAAAAATGAAAAACAAGTATTACTCCACTTCTGGGTTTTCATCTGAAGGAAACGAAAACGCTAACTCGGAAGGGTGTCTGTCCTCCCACGTTCGCTGCAGCGTTATTTACAATCGCCAAGACACGGGAACAGCCAGCCATCGACAGGTGAACGGACGAAGAAAATGCGGCGTAAATATAAGGGAATATTACTAGGCCATAAAAAAGAGGGAAACTTTGCCATTTGCAACAAGGACGCATCTCAAGGGCATTATCCTAAGTGAAATTCGTCAGATAGAGAAAGACAAATACTATATGATACGATCTCTCTTACATGTGGAATCTTAAAAAACCAAAAACCAAAAACCAAAACCAGGATCCTAGATACAGAGGATAGATTGGTAGTTGCCAGAGGCAGTGGCTGTGGGGTAGATGAGATGGGTGAAGTGTTTTTCTTATTTAGTTTAAATGAATTGAAGAGGGGCGCCTGGGTGGCTCAGTCGGTTAAGCGGCCGACTTCAGCTCAGGTCATGACCTCGCGGTCCGTGAGTTCGAGCCCCGCGTTGGGCTCTGTGCTGACAGCTCAGAGCCTGGAGCCTGTTTCAGATTCTGTGTCTCCCTCTCTCTGACCCTCCCCCGTTCATGCTCTGTCTCTCTCTGTCTCAAAAATAAATAAATGTTAAAAAAAAAATTAAAAAAAAAAAAGATAAATGAATTGAATAACTTGTATTTTTTTTTTTTTTTTAAGTATAATTTAGGGCGCCGGGGTGGCTCAGTCGGTTGCGTATCCGACTTCAGCTCATGATCTCGCGGTTCGTGGGTTCGAGCCCCGCGTCGGGCTCTGTGCCGACAGCTCGGAGCCTGGAGCCCGCTTCGGATTCTGTGTCTCCCTCCCTCTCTGCCCCTCCCCTGCTTCTGCTGTCTCTTTCTCTCTCTCAAAAATCCATAAAAGACTTTACTGACTCAGAATGTCAGCAACTAGGAATTTGAAGTTTTTCCCATTAAAAAAAAAAAAGGGAAGAGGAATATTTGCTTCTACGAAACAGAAAAAACTAAAACATCTACTTCTTGAAGCACGTTTCCCAGAGGCTTAATACCATCAGAACAAGGTTCCCACCCTCCAGAGTAGGCTGTGAGGAGGCCAGTCCTGACCCCCTCGGCTTTCTGGGTCTCCTTCCCAGGCCCCTGCCAGGGACCCCTGCCTCCACCCCAGCTCCTCACCAGCCGGGCCTTCCCGCCCTTCCTCCCGCGGAGGGCCCGTCGGAGGGGTGAGGACAGCTCAGGGCTTCAGAAAACGGGTCTTAGGTTTAGGCCACGGGCTTTCCTCCTCACTGGCTGCGTTCCTAACTTCTCCCAGCTCCAGTGTTCCCATCAGTAAAATGGGGAAATACTAATTCCACCATAATTCTCAAATTAGGGGCGCCTGGGGGCTCAGTCGGGTAAGTGTCCGACTCTGGGTTTCGGCTCAGGTTATGATCTCACGGTTTGTGGACTCAAGTCCCACGTCGGGCTCTGCGCTGACAGCGGGGAGCCTGCTTGGGGATTCGGTCTGTCTCCCTCTCTCTCTGCCCCTCCCCCACTCATTCTCTCTCTCTCTCTCTCTCTCTCTCAAAGTAATAATAATAATTCTCAACTTAAAGATGAAATGAGGTCATGCATCTCGCGCATGTAACATCGCGCCTGGCGCTCGGTC